CTATGTTTCTAGTTCTACAATTTTTTCAAAATTTCAAACGCCGACGTGATGATTGCAATGTCACACTAGGCAGAGATTCAAGATCTTGCTGAGCAATTGTAGATGCATTCGAGTTAGGATAAACACGAGAACACGATTTCATTAGTGGTATCGATGATCGGTAGATTGGTTTCAGCTGGGCACCATCCATAATTTCATACAATCTTACGGAATTTTTCTCCAAACTGAATGAAACAGATTTCGCTTGCGGTGATGGCGTGGTTTTTAAGGCAGATTTTAGTTTTGGTTCAGGGCTGCTAGGCTCGGAAGCTGATGACGCTGATGATGAAATATCCAACGATGATTCCCATTGCACCATTTGAGTTGATTTTTGTTTTACAGAAATTCGCTCACCATTGCAACACGTTTCCACTTGGGTGGTTCTTGTATAGACTGAGGTCCTTGAGGTTTTCAGGGATGCCTTAATGGTTATCGTTTGATTAGCTCGGTTATATCTTACATTTTGATCATCCTTCTCATCCGTTGTCTTTAGGACATTTAAAAATATTTTAACAACTTTTATAATAACTAATAGAACATCAATAACGGATTTAACAACATTTTCATCTTCCGTTTTGGAAGTACTGGATGCCGTTTTAACCAATTTTGTGTTCATTTTGGGATGATTTTTTTTTTTTTGTGCGACTTTGACCAAGTTCCTTGAGTTAATGATGACTTCCTTTTGCAGCATCTTAATATTTATACCAAAACGGACATAACGGATTTTCCCGCATCATAAAACTCTATCCGCTTCCCAGGTACATGGGTCACAGATAGATTAACATTTCAAGTACTGGCTCTCATGTTTTCATTGTTTAATCCGAAGGAAACTTCTAATTGATCCGGGGTATCATAAAATCATAAATAACTATGTTTTCCGTTTTTCCCAATTCCTGGAAAGTTGTTTTAACTTTGTTTTAGTAGGAATTTTATGCTCAGAATGTAAGTGGTCAGGTAAATTGTTTGGCGGAACACACACAAATTATGTCCTTACCGCAGGAACGGAACTAAGGTCGAAGTCAGAATTTGAAACAGAATTCGTTTGTTAAAGAGTATATTTGAATTTGCAAATGAAGTGGTTTTCTTAGTGTGTGTGAGGATAAAATATTTTTGAATTTGTCTGTATATTTAGTATATAATTTTTGCAATAATTTTTCGCAAACTATTCAATGAGTTCATTGAGAAATAACGAAACAGACGATGGGTATATAATTGTACTCTTGGTATCTTATACTAAATTCATATGCACATATTGAAGGGTGGTTTCTGTGAAAAAGGAAAGTTTTTCAAAAAAAAAAAAAAAAAAAAATAAATAAATAAATAAATAAAACAAGTAAGCAAAGGCTACAGTCGAGCGGGGCCGACCGTTGAATACCCTACAACACTATAATAAACGATACAGTTTATATAGGCGAGATACTCGAAAGAATTCCACAAGATATTGTGACAAATAATAAAAGAAAACCATCAGGTTTCGTTCTCTAATTTTCGAATAATAGCAACTTAAACAAATTTGCTCATTTCCAATTTAGATATGGAACCAATATTTCCCAAAGACCTATAATCTCTCAGAAGTGGCAAAAGATTAACAGTTATTATTGGTTTTTGACTGAAACGCATCTATATGAGATACAGACATTTGACTACATTCTTCAACGAAATCAGCGTTAACGAAATAGTCAGAAGTGCGTCTTTCCTGTATTTGTGAATTCTCCAAAAAGTCACTGGAATGGACATTTTCGTATTTTGTCTACAAAAGTTGGCAAACTATTTCGCACATTGAATATTTTTGGATGGCCATCCAAAACTGCTTGGCTTTTGCAATGCCCGTAACCCCCATTCAAATGTGCGTGAAGATCGGGCAATAATTACGACCTGCTAACAATTTTGCAGTTTTTTTTTTGGTCTATTTCAACCTCCAAAAAGAGTAGGCTTCTATTCTGACCCTCATCTGATCCCCATGCAAAATTTCGTTAGGATCGGGCCATAAATGCGATCTGTATATGATATCCTGATATCCTAACTACTTAGTTTTGTTAGCTGTAGAAATATTACCAAATGTTTAATTCAAAATGAAAATATGCCAAAAATATGACAAAATTGAAAAATTATGAGAAAATTTTAAAAAATCAATATTTTCATCTTTAGAGAGATGTTTTTATGCGATTTTTTTAGACGTTTTTTCTTTCCTGCCAAGAGGCCATTCTGAATTAATGAGAACTGTCGAAATCAGTTCAGCCGTTCTCGACATATAAGACATCTTTCAAGCATATCTTCTTTGGTAGACATATATATCGCACATATTTTGCTATATATCCGTTTTGTTGGATGTTAACATCAATGTAGAGATCAGGAGTAACCTTGTCATGGCTTTGCGATTTCGCCGGGATTTAAAATATTCGCGGTTTAATGAAAAATTTTGAATTTTTTTAACAAAAAAGATAGGGTCTATTTTACCCGCTAAATATTATCCGATGACCACCCAAATTGGTAGGGTTCTTCCCCGCCCTAAACTCTAGCTACATGCGAAATTCCGCGTCGATCGGTCTATAATTGTGACCTGTAGAGCAACTACAAAATCAGCAAATTTTTCAGTTTTTGGTCCATTTCAACCCCTAAATATTATGCAATCCTCTCCAAAAGAAATAGGGTTCTATTCTGACCTTAACCCCACCTACATTTTAAATTTCGTGAAGATCGGGCCATAATTGCGACCTGTAGCGTGATTACAAATTAACATGGACAGACGGACAGACGGACAGACGGACGGACGGACATACATAGCTAGATCGACTCAGCTCGGCGAGATAGGAAGATCCATATATACTTTCCTATGTGGGAAATCAATATTTCGTGGTGTTACATAATTTTTGGCCCAATCAAACTTATAATACCCTCAACACATAGTGTTGTAGGGTATAAATACATGATCTATAACTTAGCCACACAAAAACTAATATAAAGGCGTTCAATTACACGATCTAGGCGACCAATTGACCAGAATTTAAAATTAAATATTCATTCGTATGTTGCATAATATATATTAAATCAGATAAAATCTTCCTTGGGCCAAAAAATAATATGAACAAGAGTGGTTAAATTTACTATATCCATTACAAAGGAAGTGTATGAAAAATTAGTTCAAACTTGGATATAGCCTATATAGGTATATGTGTGTCATCGACTCAGCAATAACTTATACAATTTTGGTCCGATTTCAATCAAACATAGAATATTTTGGGCACTTGGCGCTAGCTGGTGGTAGTTAATTGCAGCTGCCGTTATATGTTCTGTTAAAGACACAAACTAATGGAAATTTTTGTCCGGTTCAGGAAGGGCTAATAAAAAGAAAGAGAGAGAGGGAGTAAGCCAGAGAAAATTTAAGGTACTTAAAAAAATTATCACAACAAAGGAAAGAAATTTTCTAATTTACATAGAAATCGCTAGATAAGTGGTGCAGTGCATTTTACGGATGTGAGGGACTTGAATAAAAAAAACGGATGAAACATATATATTAATTCGTTCGTATGTGTCAAAATCCAAAATTTGGCAATGACATTTTTAGCTGTATCTGATATATACCAAAAATCATTGTGGAGGACAAAAAAAGAAATGGGACGAACAGTATATATCGGAGCTATAGCTATATCTAAACCGATTTCCACCAAATTTGACGTACTTGTTTCTAGTCCAAATGTCCATTTGGTTTAATATTACACATTTTGTGCACAATAAAAGCCAAATCGAACCCAGATATATATGATTTGTTCAAAATATCATCTCGATCGGGCAATAAATGCGGCCTGTACTTTGGTTACACAATGTGATGCAGATCATCAAAAGGAAAAAAAGTTCTCCATTTTACAAGCAAATGTACCAAGACTTAATACCCTGACCCTGTGGTGTAGGGTAAAATTAAAAAATGCGTAGAAAAGCCCAACATTTGGGATATAAAAGTTTAAAGGCCAAAATTTAGGATATAACTATCAAACGGGATTGAGGCTGGGAACAAAGGTCACGAGTAGTACTTTCCGAATATATGGACCTTATAGGCAAAAAATCAGATTTAGGAATTTTTCGATTTTTTCCGAAAACTTATCGCGTTTTTTGTGATAAATTTATTTAGAAATACCTCACATTTTCTCTGGTTTACTCTCTTTAAAAAACATTTTCTGAACCGGAGAAAAAATCGCTTGGTTCATGTCTGCTAGTTGAATTTAAATTTATCTTGACGGAAATCTGGCAAAGGAGTCTCTTATTGCCGAATTTCAATTTCATTAGAAAATGGTAAGCCAAGATATCGAATATCTGGAGTTAGATTTATTTTGAAATTGAGATTCGGTTCGGTTGAAAATCAGTTTTTAGCTCTTTTTTAGGATCTATCGTTTTTTCGAGGAGTTACAACAAATAAGATAATTCTATTGGCGGACGGGCCCGATGTTGCCCTATACCACTATAATTTTTAGTAAAGTTCCTGTTATCTACAACCCATTTGACTAGACTGAACGAATCCCTTAAGAAATTTAGATACATAATTTGACTACTTAAAATATTCCACGTAGCAAGGTTCGTTCTCTAATTTTCTTTTTTTTAAGGGCTATCAGTAAAGCGTTTATTTCCAATTTAATAACAAATGTTGCGAGTTTTAGATCCTTTCCAAAAGTCCTCATAGATCTGAAACCAATATTTTCTGAAATTCTACGATCTCTACTACGAAAGTACATTAAGGCTATTTATTCCAACGGAAATTATAATTTTTAGAACGACTCTGGATCGACTTAGCTCGGCGAGATAGGAAGATCGATATAGTACATAGTGAGGACCTAAATTTCTTGATTTTATAAGATTTTTGGCCCAATCAAACTTATAATACCCTTACTACATAGTATTGTAAGGTATAAAAACTAGGAGTTAAATGATACAAACATATATATCTCATAAATATCTCTCTTTTATTACAGGCAGAAAAGGATTGAATGACTATATGCTACCGTCGTCCACGTTTTGTTAAAATTCGCGTAAGGAATTTGGGATTTTTTGGTAAGTTTTAATTGTAATCTCTAAGTTTTATGTAAACTTCTCAAAATCCTGAAAAATTACTAATTGGAAAAAACTGTAAGACGGTGTTTTAAAATTATGGCTTTGACATTTACCTTTTAAAAAAGTAAAACTAGTAAAAGCAGTAAAATGTCAATACTGTCCTCCTTAAATGAAGATAGAAAAGTTTGCAAAAGAATACTCCTTTGATTAAAAATTGCCAAAGCTTCAAGAATTGACACATAATACGAATAAGTTTCTGAAGTAAATCCGCATGATGGCCGTTTTCATTTTTTGTTATATAGCTCCTTCTGCAGTGGCGTTAGGCGCACGCTAACTACCTACCTGGCAAAGGTCATCTAACTCAAGTACATCCTCTTCAGTATGGCCATTGTTTAATATTTGGGAAACTACTTATTTGATCCGGTATCATAAACATTTCCCATTTTCTTGAGAAATGGTTGTTTATCGGCCTTTTTATTTGATTTATAAATAATAAGATTTTTTCGAGCTTTAGGCCATTTTCGGATTTATTTTATTGATTACAATAATAGGTTCCCAATATTTCGCAATTATCAAATTGCATCTTCAGGGGCTGTAAACCGGGATCATTTAATTAAAAGACGCAACGTCTTTTCCGTTTGAGCGTTTGTAAGACACTAAATTTGTTTATTAAAAACATTTCTTAAGAACTAGTTGTGATAATATGACTTAACCTAAATTATAACTAAGTGTAAATGAGAGAGAGAGAGAGAGAGAGAGAGAGATAGATACCAACCGTACACATGCATATGCACCATGCCACCATAAACCTTAGGGGGAGGTCATACACACGCATAGCTATCTCACATGTGGCAAGCAAACATTCTGCACTTGCTTATCAGTCTGAGTAAAGATTACATCCCATAATCTAACTCCACCATAACACATGCAGCAATTGAAAATTCTGTATTATTTATTTCTAACTCGAAGGTCTGCTCACCACATTTTCTTATCTTATTTCATGTGGACTGTATTAAGAAGATCCCAGTTTAACAAATCCCTCTCATCTACACTAGGTAGCCCCGCTATTCTCTTTTATTATAAAAACATGTTCACTTATCCGTGAACATTCTTGGCAGGGGCAAAAATACATATAAAATATAAAAATTACAAATATGAACAATAAAATAGATCTAATAGAAGTGACATTTTAAGAGAAAAGAAGTTAAGTTATAACACCCAAGTAACTCCTCCATCTTTCCAGCCTGTCTCTCTTGAACATCCCACCTCCTTTATCTGCCGGCTTCAATTTCCAGGCTGAATCCATTTTATGTGTTGTTTTCTTTCTGCGACCAAAGTTCTCATCCTTCTCTGGTAGCGCCATCTTACCGACTTTGGACAGTTTATCGTTCCTGTGTTCAAAATTTTCTGTCACTCCGGCTTGTATTTTCCTTCCACTTCCACTAGACATCTTCATCACAACTTGACCGTCTTCCAGCATCTTATTACTCCAGCGACGCATATTGCTTTTCTTCTTAGTTTTAATCTCGCTGGCAAACAGCTTATCTTCGACTTCTTCCAATCTCCCTGTGTCCAGTTTTCCAGGGAGCTGTTCATCTAACTTTTCCAAAGTTGGTTCTCTTTCGGCAATTGGGTCTTCCATATTAACCTCTTCAACCATCATATCTTCGTTGATATTGACCACTAGTTTTGCAGCCAATTCATCAGCCTCGATTTTGGATGCTTTCTGCGATATGAGCAACTCTTCCTTAAGTTGCAATACTTCAGCCTCCAGCAGAAATATCCTTCTTTCTTTTTCTTCACCAGCTTCTAGATTTGCAGCCAACCCGTCACGTTCGGTTGCAGCTGCAAGTCGTTCTCTTTTTGCACAAGACAACTCGTCACTAAGTTGTCTTATTACCGCATTCAACGCCTTGCCCTCGCGTTCTGCCTCCTGGTTAGCCGCTCGTAATTTGTCCTTAGTATCCTCGGCTACACACACAGCATTTTCGACTTCCTCCTTCAATTTGGAGACAAGTTTGAGGGCATCTTCTTTTTCATCTTTCTGTGAAATCAAGGCAAACTCCATTTCCTTAATATCACCTTCCATTTTTCTCATTACGGCTACCGCTGCTTTGCGCCCCTCTCGCTCGCTGTCCAATTCGGATGTTATGTAGGCCACTTGTTTCTTCAAGCCAAGGACTTTCTCTTTGGTCTCCACATTAAGAGCGTGCGTGATTTTAAGGATGACCTTAACATCTTCCAAATACAGCTTCGCTGTCCCATTCGCCTGACTTGCTCTGATAGCAGCGGCTAGTTTGGACTTCTTTAGAAGCATCTCTAAAAACCGCCTATGAACGCATGGATACAATATTATGTCTCTTGCCGCGTCCATAAGTTTTTCTTTGGCGAAGTCAAATACGCCTTGTATGGCTTCTTCCGTCTTTAATGTACTCATTATTTCCATAATGGTACCCATCATTTCGAGAAGAATGGCAACATCTTCCTTTATTTTCATCATTGGCGGCCGTTTCACCGATTCGTCCTCCTGGGCATATACATCATCCCTTCTTTCTGAAGATTTCAAATATGAAGCCCCCTCGGTGTGCACCGCCACCACAGTCTTCTGTGCTGAAGTCTCCTTCTGACTCGGCATCCTTTTATTTGGCTTATAAATTTCTTCTGTATGGGAACAATTCCAGCTGTAGTTTTAGCTCGGTAATTTTCCACTCTTGAAGACCAATTTTAGCCTGATAGAATTTCCTCGATGTTAAGGCAAATTCTTCAACATTTATCCTCTACCGATCCGGCTCGAAGGACCAATGTAAACCGGGATCATTTAATTAAAAGACGCAACGTCTTTTCCGTTTGAGCGTTTGTAAGACACTAAATTTGTTTATTAAAAACATTTCTTAAGAACTAGTTGTGATAATATGACTTAACCTAAATTATAACTAAGTGTAAATGAGAGAGAGAGAGAGAGAGAGAGAGAGAGAGATAGATACCAACCGTACACATGCATATGCACCATGCCACCATAAACCTTAGGGGGAGGTCATACACACGCATAGCTATCTCACATGTGGCAAGCAAACATTCTGCACTTGCTTATCAGTCTGAGTAAAGATTACATCCCATAATCTAACTCCACCATAACACATGCAGCAATTGAAAATTCTGTATTATTTATTTCTAACTCGAAGGTCTGCTCACCACATTTTCTTATCTTATTTCATGTGGACTGTATTAAGAAGATCCCAGTTTAACAAATCCCTCTCATCTACACTAGGTAGCCCCGCTATTCTCTTTTATTATAAAAACATGTTCACTTATCCGTGAACAGGGGCAATCTATTTTAGAAAACATAATTATTAGTATCACAGCATTTTGTTATGGGCACAATTATTTTCCAAAAAAGAGATTTCTTACATTTACATAAAATTGTCAGATTTACTTAACAGCTAATGTAGTTTTTACTACCATTGTCTGGTGTTATTATTGCACTGATTATTTCTACGTATTACACGATCTCTTCTTTGTCAAGTGTCGATAACAATAAGCTGCATTATCGGTGTCGCTTTTGTAATTGATCTTTTTGTTTGTTGGTATGTTATTTATATGCAGCATCTCCAATGTTAACCTTCTGTTGTAGTCGTTCTCCGCCTGTAATACTCGTATTTTGTCAAAGTTTGGTATGTGGTTGTTAAGTTTACAGTGTTCCGCAAGTGCTGTTTTTTGAATATTGTTTTGGCTCCTTAGTTTGATGTCTGATTTATGTCCCGATATTCTAGTTTTTAATTTGTTTTTTGTGGTACCAACATATATTTTTCCACATTTTTCGTCTTTTGTTCCATCACATTCAATGCTATATATTACATTGTGTCTCTCACTTAACGGAATTCTACTTTTGGTATTAGTAAATAAACTTTTTAGTGTATTGTTTGTCCGTGTTGCTATTTGCAGTTTATCCTTGTCATATAAATCGGAATTTTGGAATCTCTCAGATAATCCAGGAATATAAATCATTGATTTGTAATATTTTTCTTGAGATTTGTCCTTAGATTTCGGTATATTATAGTCATTTATTAATTTTTCAATTAATAATTTTGGAAAACAGTTTTTGGACAGTATTTTTCGTATTTTGTTTTTATTAGTTTCGTGGAATTTATGGTCGCTAATATTCAATATTCTGTTTATAAGATTTCTACCTGTGTTAATAATCATTTGTTTTGGATGTTTCGAGTGGAAATTTAATATGCGACTCGATGCCGTCGGTTTTTGATACCAGTTCATTTCTATTTTATTGTCCTTTCTCATTACAAGTGTTACATACAAGTGTTACATATCTGGACACACTTGTAATGAGAAAGGACAATAAAATAGAAATGAACTGGTATCAAAAACCGACGGCATCGAGTCGCATATTAAATTTCCACTCGAAACATCCAAAACCAGACAATGGTAGTAAAAACTACATTAGCTGTTAAGTAAATCTGACAATTTTATGTAAATGTAAGAAATCTCTTTTTTGGAAAATAATTGTGCCCATAACAAAATGCTGTGATACTAATAATTATGTTTTCTAAAATAGATTGCCCCTGAAGATGCAATTTGATAATTGCGAAATATTGGGAACCTATTATTGTAATCAATAAAATAAATCCGAAAATGGCCTAAAGCTCGAAAAAATCTTATTATTTATAAATTTCCCATTTTCTCTCTCTCTCTCTCTTTATTATTCTATGAAGTCGTAAACTACTTTCGTACACTATTTGGCACTTTAGTATAAAAAACGCGATACAATTCGCAGAAATCGTATTGTGTGGTGGCAGAAAGGTAAAATGTGCTATAAGTAAAGCAAAACAGAACAGTAAATCTCTGCTAAATGAGCATATACCCGTACGCTATACAAAAGGGTATGATGTGTTTCCGTTAGCATTGACACAATCCTGATTTACGAGGGTTGTATTATAAGTTGAGTCAAATTTGCTTTCATTTTTTAGCATACGGCTAAATCGTCA